AGTGCACCAATCGATTGATGAAGGCCATTGGCACCTGGAACAACTCTCTCAGAAAGGCATGGCGCAATAAATCGGCTGTGTTCGGCCTTGGTATGAAATTATTCAGTCCCCTCTGAATTTCATCCCAAAGATGTTCAATTGGGTTTAAATCAGGACTAAGGGCTGGCCGCTGCATAATGTTGACACCGTTCTGCTGAAGGAAGTCCCGTGTAGCTCTGGCATTATGGGCCATTATCATGCTGGAAAGTGTTGTTCTGGTGACATGCGAAATGTGGTATGACGTGGGGTCTTAGAGCTTGGTCGATGTAGCGCACCGCTGTGATGCCGCCTCCTCTCCCTGGACCAAGGTTCTGGAACACCACAGGACCCATTCTCTGGTTCAGGCCTATTCCACCCCATACCATGATGCTTGCACTTCCCCATGAGACTCTTTCCATAACACATTGGTCTGAGTAACACTGGCCACGTCGTCGCCATATTCTTGTTCTGCCATCTGCAGTTGATACCCAGTACCGACTCTCATCTGTGAACAGAACAGTTCTGCATTGCCTGTATCGCCAGTGTTGGTGTTGTAGGGCAAACTGTAGGCGTTCATGCCGATGACGAGGGGTGAGGATAGTTCCACAGTAAGGTCTACGGCAATGGAGGTTCCTGCTGTTAAGACGTTGGCATACTGTATCATTACTGATTGGTCTTCCATGTGTTCCCACTGTCTGACGTGCTGTTTCGGATGCCTGCATGAAGGGATTCTGTACATGCTGTCGCACAACATGGTGGTCTTGTCTTGTGATAACACTTGGTCTGCCAGTACGGGGGCGATCATTTGTGGTGTTGGTGGCCCGGAAACGTTGATGCCGCCTGTAGATGGTCCGAACGTTGACCTGGAAGTGATTGGCAACGGCTTGTGCAGTGTGGCCAGCTTCGCCTGGTTCCTCTGAGCTGTCGTGAGTCGCGGCATCCTGCTGACCTTGTAATGTGAATGTTTCAACCAGGTTTGGGGGTGCATTTAATAGGGCTGGTCCTTGTGAACATCACATCCGGCATGAGTTGCATGAAAAACATGGGGAACCATCTCCGATATCAGGTTGTGTTTTTGAGACCATTTCCTGGGTTCCATTCTGATGTTGTCAAAACATGAAATGAGTTTACAGCTATCCGTTTCTGCGACGGAAAATTCCAAACTGACGTTTCTTTTGCTGCTTATTATATATAAACTAATAAATGGTTTCCCTCTTGTCCGCATAAGTGTGAAGAACTTGTATACATTATTCCATGTTTTGTACCATGGCTATAGCTATGCATGAACAGTATTTAACAAGCATTAGAGGAGCAGTGTTAACAAAAGAAATGCAATGTCATTTTGGTATTTTTTAACATGCACCTCTAAAGTTTTCTGACAACTGACTTGTATTATATGGATCAAGCGTTTCATGAAGACTACATTACAGTTTAATTGAAAAAACTGCATGCACATGTTTCAATAGTCCAAGTCAGACTTCCGTCACTGCACTTACAATGCACCTAAAACTGCTGTTCTTGTTTGAATTTTTCTCATGTACAATTCTTTGTGACTGGGAGGCTTCTAACCAAATCATCTAGATAGATCATTATTATTATTCCAATGACAAAAGTCTGTCAAACATTCCATCTTGTTCAGTAGTATAGGGAATAGCGGTTCTGTGACAGGTCCCCTATAAGTGATATTTTGGCAAACTCCGGCTCTTGCCGAAGTGTAAAAATACGGGTGAATGATGGCGGACCATCATTCGCCATCCATGCAAAATCATTCCCGTTTTAGAGATAAGATATTGTTGGGAGTTTGACAAAAAAATGAATGAGCAAGAGAAATTGAGATACCAGAATTTATCATGGGATTGGCATGGAATAGTGTATGGATTCCTGAGAGCAAAGCGTACTGAGAAAATATCGGCCATAGCGGGAAGAGAGACAGACATTCTGGGTTGGTGCTAGTGGGCAGGACAAAGATCCAGTAGAGTTGTGCTTAAAGATGGGACCTTTGTTTGGGCAAACCAAAGTTCGAGTTTGCATTAAAAGAGAAGTCTCACTATGTGGAATCATTCGTGGACGGGGAACAAAAAATTAGCTAGATAACGAGAGACATGGGCAAGTTCGACAACGGATTTAGAGTTCGCATAGAACCAGCCCAAACTTTCAAGAAAGATGGAAACACCATAACTTGGTATCCGACCACTTTAACGGTCTTACCGAATACCATACAACTATTGCATTACTTTATGGATTTACATTGATATCGAGGAAACAGTTCAGCGTCAATCTCCTATGATCTCTTTGGTTTTGGAAAGGAAAGCTTGCTGGGCCTGTTGTCTGCCCTGTTCTATGAGCTTTCGCTGATGTCCCTCGTCTTGCGGGCCTTGGTTCAAATGTCTTGCTTCATTCTGTGGTATTTGGCGAGTTCTGCTAAGACTAGACGGAACTCTTCCGCCGTGATCTTGCTGTCAGCGAACGCCGTTGATACGTGATACAAAAAATGATCACGGTCAACTTGGCTTCAGCTAGAACCCTAATCTCGTCATGGTTCAGCACTTTACCTTGCAGCTAACGTGAATTGAATTTGAGAGCTATTCCTGCCAGGCCCGATACCACGTCTGCTATTTCCAACCCGAAGACGACGGGTGCGGCTACAATGGTTGACAATATACCGACGCTGGCTGCCCCGAGTCCCATGCTGGCTGTCACTAGTGCTGTGTCAACGCCGTTGACGACATTCACGGCTCTGTGGTACTTTTTGCACAATGCGCTTTGTACATCTCCTTCTTGTTCGAGTTGGCGTTTGATCTCGCTTTGTCGCATACGAAATCTGTCCACGGTTCCGAGTGTTTTGGCCACATCATCCATGGCGGGATACTATCCCATCTTCATATATTAATTGAGTTACAAAAAAATATTTAATTGTTTTTCAGTCAATCGCTGATTGATGTACATGTACTTGAGGCTGACAAAGTTCAGGTTATTGTGTAGGTAAATAGGAGAGAGCTGAACACGAACCCCGTTGAGGCTTGTTAAAGGTATCCACCCAGGTCTTAAGAAAATATGGCAACGTTGGTGCGTGTTGACCAGTTTATGGTCAACCCATTCAAAAGTACTAGATCTTCCGAGGGAACATTGACGAGATACACATGCCTGATTTGTACGTTGGTGTGATGTCACTCTATTATGAGCGTGGTGTGTAATTTTATGCCGAAGTTTGAATAAAAAAAATACAGTTGATAATTGGGTATGTCGGACAGTAAAGACGCATTTGAGTTGACTGGAGCTAACATGTTGCCCGGTATTCACAATACTTGTATGGTATTATCAAATTTCATCATGAAAGACGTGAGAATGATCCCTTTGTTTATGATTTCGGAGACGTAACTGTCTTTTAGAAATATGAACGATGCCGAGGTGATGGTGACATCAATCAGCCAGTCGATTTTTTTTTAGACTTTTTGTCGCACGTACACATTGTTTTGCAAGTGAAAGGCGTAAAAGGTATTGTTTTCTGTGCCAGGTCGATCGAATCCCTGCGTGTCCCCAAAGTCAGAGAGCGCTATGGTAACGTGTTTTGTAACGTCCATCGTTATAATTTTTACGAAATAATTTTCAATTGGTTTTCTGTCAATCTATTGTGCGTGCATTTCAAGCTGATGAGATGTATATTATCGGGTAAGAACATTTTGGCTAGTGAAATTTTTGTGTCCAAGGTCACTGTTACTCCTTGGAGACTCACGTAAGAAGTCACGTCAGCGTTGTGCTGAGATATCCTACGTGTATTGGTTCATGCTTTATATCTAAAATGGATACTTTTAATTCCATGATCATGCCTCGGGTTAATTTCTTGTACTGCAGGGACGGAAACAACTCGGTTCTACCGTCGTTGTAGTTTTCCTTTTTGACCGGCATGTCTCAAGGCCGTTCGCCTTGAATGTTATCGACCGTGCTTATTTGATCGAGATGAATGCACAGTTCGCGATAGGGAACTAGGTTGGGCAGTTTCGTGCCCATCATGGTGGTTTGCTGCGGTATTTCGTTCGACGTCAGCCCGAGTGTTCTGGCAAGAGGTTGGCCGAGTCTCAAGCTGCTTTTCCTGTTGTTCGATAGCACGACCGTGCTGTTGAAATCATTCAGTTTGAGTTCGGCTCCCAGCGGTTTGCATGGACGTAGTATGTAGTGTAGGGAATAGCGGTTCTGTGACAGGCTATCGGAGCCGTGGTCACTGAAAATCATCATCATATTCGAGGTTTTAGGTAAGACCTTCAAGTTATTGGTATTCCAGCTATACTCGGGATTGTTCTTTCTTCTCAATAACGAGCTCAAAAATCGCATAGGCACTTGATTGTTCCTTTCACAAACTCTAATGTTAAAGCATGGTGTGAATTCTCTTCTAACGCTCTTTCCAGCCTTTCGCGCGGCCAAATAACACGTCCGTTTTCAAACAAAACTCTGGTGATTCCTTCACCTTCTAGCTCAACAGAACCAACTATGCATAACGGCGGCATTTCTACTATTAAACGGTGGCATTTCTACTCCCAACAAATCTTCTGACACAGCATTATAAGATCTTGGAGTATAATATAGCCCTATTAGTCTAGACCAACGTTCATTTTTTCGTTATACTTCTAACAATATCTTATCTCTAAGGGGAATGATTTTGCATGGATGGCGAATGATGGTCCGCCTTCATTCATCCATATTTTTACCCTGTCAGGGGCTGGAGTTCAAACTATCACTTATAGGGGACCTGTCATGGCCTCTATTTCTTATACTACTTGTTTTAATGCATTTTGTCCGGCATTTCCTACAGTGTTTGAGGTACCAGTATCTCACCTCGATTTTGTAGGAGTGACCTTAAGGCTGACCATAAGTCATAACAGAATAATACATCCCAGCGATGTAAATGGAATTCTTATTACTGCGGCAGTAGAACTGCCTCTGTTGGACTGACTAATCATTCATGAGAGTTAAAAACAAATCTTGGAAACTTTCTCTGTTGGTTTAATATTAACAGATTACAAAAATGAAAAGTTGCATTGCATAACATCCTAATGTGTCATTGACAAATGGAACAACATAGAAAAGTAACCTTTTAACTATACACATTAAGACCTTCGAAACTGCATAGTTATGGAAGCACAGCTTTAATACTCAAACATGCAAGTATAAAACATCACAGCTGCTCAAATGGGCAAATAAAATAAAATCAGTTAAATATGAAGAAGTGTTTGGAGTTGAATCTCATACAACATCTGTGTCTTACACTTTCCTGTTTATAAATACTCCATTCACAAATCTCTTGTAAGTCTTAAAAACAACTTTCTTGAACAAGGAAAGAATAAAATTGGGTAACTATATAGAATAATAGTCATCATAATAATGATAATAATAGTAACATACAACACCAATATGTTATTGTTGTTGGAACACACCAATGTACAATTTGTAACAAACAATGCTATCACAGCCAAGCATGCACTTTCAGTGCCTTTGCATTCCTTTAAAATTCGCCTCATGGCGAGAGGTATATTGATCAAGTCTGCTCATGTGCTTGAGACTTATGTGGGGAAGGGGGTGCTGCTGATGGAGGTACTACACTAGACGTGTGGGGACTGGAGTGCTGACCCGCCTGGGCAGGTTGTGGTGGTGGCGGCTGCTGCTGCTGATGCTGGTGTGAAGAACCTGAGCTGCCACTGCTACCACCTGATTCCATACCTTCACTATTGTGTACCACTGGGAAGAATCGTTCTGAAACAAAGTAGTTTGATCATATAATCTTGATGTGTAATGCAATGGAAAAACAAGTGACAAAGTCATCAATATCCCCCGCAATGGCAAAATACTCTTCATGATTATGTCTACGAGTTATGATTATGTCAAATATTTAGGTGTGTACATAGAAAAGTGGAAGGAGAGTATTGAAATGGTTTAAAAGTTCTGCTCCAGAAAGGAGCACTATCACCAATTTCAGTCTAAGTCAAACTTGTTGCCATGGAAATGCCAAAAATATTTTATTCAGAAATCCAAATCTACCAAAAGGCACCAGTACACCATCAGACCAATCTATGTGCCAAGTTTGGTGAAGAAATATTGAACAGTTTTAGAGTTCAGCTCCAGAAAAGAGCACTACCACAATTTCAGGCTAAGTCAAACTTGTTGCCATGGAAAAGCCAAAGCCAAAAATATTTTATTCAGAATTCCAAAACTACCAAAAGGCACCAGTACACCACCAGATCTATCTGTGTGCCAAGTTTGGTGACAACATATTGAACGGTTTTAGAGTTCTGCTCCGGAAAAGAGCACTACCACAATTTCAGTCTAAGTCGAACTTGTTGCCATGGAGCGCCAAAAATATTTTATTCAGAATTCCAAAACTACCAAAAGGCACAAGTACACCACCAGATCTATCTATGTGCCAAGTTTGGTGAAGAAATAGTGAACAGTTTTAGAGTTCTGCTCCGGAAAAGACAAATGTGCACGGACAGACGGACGCACGGACTGAGTCCATTTTAATTTTTTCCTCCCCCCCCGAAAAAAGCGTTGAGGGGGATAAAAAGTAAAGCACAGCTTGTGAATACATGTCTTTGAGTCACTGTCAACTTGGAATAACTGGTTTGGCTGGACATTGTATTTACCTTAAATAATAGTTAGAATCACAGCATGAAATGAAAGAAGATGAGACAGAATTCCAATGAATCATGTCTCAGCTTCTTTGGTCAAGTGTTATTTGAAGAGAAAATGTTCCAGAAACAGATGATCCACAACAGCTGTGTGAATCATCCCATTCATTTACATACAATTTCATTCATATAATACCTTCATTCAAAAGTCCTTCATCTGGGTTCACTGTTGGCATTATGTTAGCCAACATATTGTAGTCCATATTTTCATCCAAAGGGATAAATGGTGTGGTCCACCGAGGTATTGGTGTTGAGCGAGGAGTTGTGCGTGGCGTGGCTACAGGCGATGCTATCAGGCTAAGAGTAGTTGGGCTGATCACTCCACTTATGGCATTTACTGGACTAATGCTGGGATAGGTAAACACCTGTCAAAAAAGCAAGACGTAATATAAATGGCATTTTATACAATAAATTGAAGACATATTTAAGATGTACCAGGTTCATACAAATGGTTACTAATTTGTTGAATTTATAGCTGTGAAGCTAACAGTTCAAACAGTAAAACAAACGGTAAAACAGACATGTAAAAAAAATTAAGTAAGTAGGCCAGCAGCCCATTTTACATAACTAAGTAAAATATGGAACATATTTACTGTGGAAACTGTTCGCAAACAAGTGTAGAAGTGAGCACAGCTCACATACCCCCACTTCCCACTTTGGGACATGATATAGATATATATAATGTGACAAGGATCAGCAGCTCACAAGACTTTCCCCTTTACTCTACTAAACTTTATATACATGTTAGGTAATTGTTTTGCCATGTACTGATTACAGTAATAATTTATGGAAACATTACTTTTTTGTGTTTTCCGTGGAAACCTGACATACAATTGAACTTGTTGCACACAATGAAGTGGACGTCGATGAAGATTGGGTTTTTTTAGCACATGGCATATCTGTGGGTCATGATTAACTTGTGTATTAAGTTTGGTGAACCTAGCATGTATAGTTTCAATGATATGCTGTGGCCAGGTAATCATCAAATACATTTTGCACAAAGTCATGTTTCCATGGAAACAACAACAAAAGAAAATTCTGAAAAAACTTTAAAATAGCAAAAGGCACATCAATGGGTAAAGATTAATATGTGTGTGAAGTTTGGTGAACCTAGCATGTAAACTTTAAGAGATATGCTCCGGACAAAAACCACCAAACACATTTGGCACTAAGTCGTGTTTCCATGGAAACAGCAAAAAAATAAAATTCTGAAAAAACTTTAAAATAGCAAAAGGCACATCAATGGGTAATGATTAACATGTGTGTGAAGTTTGGTGAACCTAGCATGAAAACTTTAAGAGATATGCTCCGGACAAAACCATCAAACACATTTGGCGCCAAGTCGTGTTTCCATGGAAACAGCAATAAAACAAAATTCTGAAAAAAAATTAAAATAGCAAAAGGCACATGAATGGGTAATGAATAGCGTGTGTGAAGTTTGGTGAACCTAGCATGTAAACTTTAAGAGATATGCTCCGGACAAAGTTTCGGGCGGGACGGACGGACAGAATGAATGCTATATACCCCCGTTACTTCGTAGCGGGGGTATAAAAACATGGTATTTTTCTTGGTATATTAGTACTACATCATGTACATGAAAGAAATAGTGGCTACAAATTGTTGGGCAAGGACTGACACAGACATCATTGCTGCCATAATGTTGCTATTTATTATTTGATTCAAGCACCTTTACTTTCATCGAGCACATGTCAAGTGATATTTCTGTTGGAATTGGAGACGTAAGTTTGATGCCTGCAGAAACATGTGCCTGTATGTGTATGTGGTTCAGGTTCAGCCAGTATACACATTGAGATGATGCCCTTCATACATGCAGACTGTTAAAGGTTTACTATAAATCCTTGGTAGTAAAGGTCAACCTTTCAGCTACCCCTGAAATATCAACAATTTCAACTAGGGCTGGAGCAACTGACAGAAAAATCTGTCAATTGTTCGATCTCGGTTGCATCAGTGATTATTGATTAGCTTGGGAGACTGATTGATCTTCATGAAAATGAAATATCAAACTAAACTTTAGACAGTATGTTTCTTATTGCTATGTTTATTAAATCAAGGCATAAACAACTGATGCAGTTTCCTGACTAGTAAAACTGCAATGTAAACAACATACTTGTGTGCGTGACTCAAGAGGAAGTATCTCCAAATGATCATTGTATTAATCGGGGCCGGTTTCATTTGCACAATGTTATGATTGTGTTCTGTTATTGCCCACACAAGTTTGTTGTGAGGTTTATGATTACAATTAATTATTGATCAATTACTGAGCTCCATTCTGCATATTGTTAGTGATAACCAGCACTAATTTCAATATAGGTGACAGACAGCCTCATACAAGCCAAACAGTTCCTTCGCGTTAAGGCGACTTTTTTAGCGTATATAAACATTAAGCAAATTTCGTTTTCGCCTTCCCAATTAACATGTCGTCACCATGTAATCATTGAAGTCTTGGGACCTTGCAATTTCAGGTGTTGCCTCCATAGTCTCCAACCAGGCTTCTTGTACATCAGGAAGAGGAAGTAGGGAAAGTCCAGCTGCTCTTCGATTCCAACTCTGCACTTGGGTATCTTCCTTGTACTGGACAGCTAAGCTTAGATCTTGAGTTTTCCTCCAAATAGCCTGGGTAAAGTGGAAGAAACACCCCTTGATGTCTGCTGTGGGGAACTCACCCTCTGCTCGAATGGCCGCCATCTCAAAGTCTGTCTGCACAGTAGCTGGTGACAAGGGTTGGTTGAGAATCTGCTGCACCTCTGTCTTCAGCAGCGTGAACAGCATGGCATATATTGTCTGTTGTCAGTTGGGCAGCAGGGTGAAGACAAGTGGGTACATCGTATATCCACTGTGGGCATGTACAGTGTACAGCTGGTTCCAAAGGTTGGAGCAACAGGAAAAGGTACCATCCATGTAGATTGTATCTGCTTCGGAAAGACATCTCAGCTGTTCATCAGTGGAAAAGATCAGGATCTTGTCTTCTTCGCCATCTTCACAGAGTAGAAATCTTCTGCCATCTCTGGTTGTCGTCCATCACCCTTCTAGGTGAACATCAGCTCTCGTCTGTGGAAGTACAGGGATTGTTGTTCGGCGATGTCGGTAGAGGGAACTCTTCAAGCTTCAAGCCTGGACAGGCGTAGCTTCTTCTCTGGCCCGTTTCCGCAAACTGCTAACAAACTGGACTTGAGTCGGTTCTCTAGGTGGATGGCAGTGGTCCGAGAAATCTTTCAGTAAGTCCCCAACAGTGGAACATTTCCCTCGGCATGTCTTGATGATACATCTCCAGTGTGTGGTCTGGCCTCTGGTTCTATTCTTAGAGTAGGTGAAGCCATCAAGAAATACTTGTGGGGTTCCTCTCTGAGATTCAATGAATTCAACTCTGCATATACCAGCCATTACAGCGATATCTTACTGACTTTAGAGTTCATGTTATATAGTACATGTGAGATTATACTTATGTTTTGGAGAAGTTTAATCCATTTAAGTAATAAAATAATGCAAAACAAATTCAGTTAAAACCTATTGAATAATATTTACAGAGCCTCATGTACTTCCTGTATTCCATATAGTTAAACAAACTACTCCAAATTTCGTTACTACAACACATGCAACCCGTCACACTGATCAAAAGCAATTTACAAACACAATCATAATCTGGTTAATCTGTATCACTTAACGAATTTGAGAGTGGGGAGTTGCCTACTCTGTTTACAGTTTGCAGCAGCTCATTAAATAGTGGGTAAACCCAGGCAGTTACACTGGTCACACTTGACTGGTCTGTCTGATAATTGGGCTCTCTGACAAATGGCACGTCTGACAAATGGGGGAGTGAACCAGTTGGATCATAGATGAAGCAAGAGTGATTGTAGACTGACCTGATACATGATCGATGAAGGCAGGAAGATGAAGACATTGTATTGCTTGTTGACAGTAAATCAGTAATCATGTCATGTAAAAATATGATGTCTATTACCTACGGTATGAAAAACACACATTTGATTTATTTGAAGACGTAAACTAAACAACCCCACTTCGCCAATGCTAGAAAAATCCTAAAATTTAGTTAGGTAAATAGGTATATACAGTTTTTCACACAGCAAATGCTTATATGTATTTCTTATGCAACAATGAAGTTCTGTTCGTATCCTCAAAACAGTGTCGGTCCATAAGTTTTTTTCAGGCAATTAAAGTTTCATGCAATACAGTGATAACTACTCCCTTGTTGTAACACGTGTTTAGTGGTATAAACCTACTCATGTTATTTGTCATCATTCACTTGATGGTCAGTTAATGAATTTATAACAGGTATAGTTAGTGGCAACACCACTCAGATTACCCGACAAAGGTTCTTATTTGGCATTTCTTGTGTCTGGAGTAAATAATCAAAAATATAAATTAAGGTCTGATGTGGCAAATGTATTACATCTTATGTAATATGTGCATGGAAATGCAGCAAGAGGAATAACCCATAACACGCTGATTGATTAATTACTTTTATCTTGCACAGCAGATTTGTCAAAAAGGTAGTGTTTATGTATGTGCATTTACTAATCTATACTGAATACACCCTTTCGTAAAGTGTCTGTGTAAAAAAACATCATTCCTTCAAAGGATTAACCGCCAATACATAGATTGATTGCTCATCAACTAAAGTACTTTTTTAAAGAATGGCGGACACCATGCAATTAGTTGCCATGTGCACTATCTTGGGTGACCAATGAGATTATACACCTATGTGAAAAACCTGAAACGATATATCACTTTTTCGCATATTAGACTGTTAAGACACATGACATGGAACAGCATTCTTTGTCAGCTGCAGATGTATGGCATGTTGTTCCTTTATGTGGATATTGATGGATACATTCCTCGAACAAGGTAATAGCCTGATATTGATGGATACATTCCTCGAACAAGGTAATAGCCTGATATTGATGGATACATTCCTCGAACAAGGTAATAGCCTGACATTGTTGGATACATTCCTCGAACAAGGTAATAGCCTAACATTGTTGCAATAACTTTTGTTTGTTTTAATTTTTAATATTTGCATTTGGTTTGATTCATTTGTTGTAGCATTCAACAGAATCATTTTTTTTCGCCATAAAGTGTAATGCGACAGAACATACACTAGGTTGCACTTAGGGCGTGTGTGTGAAATATGATTCATGTTTGCAATTTATAAAATGTTCAGATATTAGAGTCACGTTAAAGATTCACCATAAGTATTAGCAGATTGTGTGCTATTTATTAAGTTTCAAAATGCATACAAATATGAATATAAAGTAATTAGGATAATAAGACAAAATATAAAGACGTACATTGACTTCATTATTTTTCAGTCCTAAGAATTTTTACT